GAAGAATATCGAAACTAGATACGTATTGAAAAAAGTAATATTTCCATGACATGAGTGAGTGTAGATGAAGAGAAGACCAGAAATCCTACTCACACGTTTGTACGCCAAAAATTATGTCCTGTAAGTTACCATATATCAATAACGTTTTATAATCTACTTCCTTATTGATTTAAAATAGTATCTACTACTCAAGTAATGGCAGCTCTTAGAAAACCCTACTTATATGGTTATTACCGAAAAATTTTGATGCATTAATTTTGGAGAATACAATTACATCAGAAACATTAGATCAATTCTATATTGATTTTCATACAAGAGAAGTTATTGATGAACGATTAAATAAAGTAAATTAAAAAAACCTTTTAAAATTTTTTAATTTCTATTTAAATAAAATTTTAAAAAAAGATTTGTAAAAAAATTCAAGATCATTTAAATTTACATAGTTGTATAACACGTGTTGTACTTAAAATGATTGCTGAACATTTCAATGGTACAATACTTATACCATTTCTTAATGAATTTAATAAAATTCCACGTTTTATATCAATTATTGATATATTTGATGATTTAATAACATCAGGTCTTATGTCAACAATTGAACTTCTTGTTTTATCTAAATAAGATATTATTATTAAAAAATCATCTTTATTAAAACATTTTGAATCTATATCATTTTTTCATAAACATGATGCTGATTTACTTTAGTTATACGTGAAGATGATTTAATTGAATATTTAACAAAACATGCAATGACAATCAAAGTAATTTATACTAATTCTCCATTAAATAATGATGAACGTCAAAATTTTATTACAAAAAATTTTATTGAATCAACAAAAAGATTATCATCACTATGTATTCATGGTAAATATTTAAATATTCATAATAATAAATACATAAAAATGAAAATATAGTTAAAACATTAATTGAAACAAAAACTTTTGTTAATGAATAGATACTTGATGGAATCTACAATAATTTGCTAATGAGACTTCATAATACATTAGGTTAGAAAACAAATATTTAAACAAAAAAAAAACGATACTCAAGAAATTCTCAGAACGTTATAGTAAAACTTTATCTATAGCTATAAAAAAAAATAAAATCAATGAGATAGAAAACTCGTAACATCGGTATTTATGGAATTGAAAAAGCGTGTTTATCATAATGATCAACAAAGAGAATTCGATGTTTGACTAAAGATAGACTCTAATGATATACCTGAAAATTTTAGAACTTTCGCTCGTGCTGTAGTTCATCGTTATTCTATGAACTGTTGAGTAATGTTAAATCTCAATTTCGATAAGCTTTCGTTTTATATCATTAGCATTTTTCTTTGATTAAGAACTAATTCTAATA